TATATATATATAAAATCTTTTGGTATTAAATAACTTCTGTCTTGATGGCATGATAGTTTATTTTAAAATGTTTTATTGAAATAGATATTTAAAGACAAATTTTCAGAAGAGAAAAATATTAGATGTTGGCATGTATAGGGATGCTTTATCACAACTGCCTCCCAGTGGTTTAGAGAAATTACACTTTTTCATAGAGCTTAACTTATTTGAGATTCCAGTTACAACATGGTAGGGAAGCAGTTTTTTTCCAAATCTGATTTGTTCTGTTAATTCCTGATTACCTTTGTGGCAACTTTTTTTTCTTCTTTTTGATAGGTAGACAAGTTGCACACAGTGGAGCTAAAGCCAGTGTGGTTGATGGGGCTCCCCTAGTCGCAGCACCCTCTTTAAATGCCACGACTGTGGTTACAACCGTTTACCAGGAGCCCATTATGAGCCAGGGGGCAGCCTTGAGTGGAGAGCCTGCGGCTCTGACCAAGGAGGAAGAAAAGAAACAGCCCGATGAGGAACCCATGGACATGGTAGTGGAAAAGCAAGAGGAACCAGATCACAAAAATGACACTCAGATACTAACAGAAATTGTTGAAGCGAAAATGGCAGAGGAATTGAAACCAATGGACACGGATAAAGAGAGCATAGCTGAATCCAAATCCCCTGAGATGTCCATGCAGGAAGATTGCGTTAGTGATGTGGCCCCCATGCAGACAGATGAACAGACCAACAAGGAGCAGTTTGTGCCTGGTCCTAACGAGAAACCTTTGTACACTGCAGAACCAGTGACTCTGGAGGATTTGCAGTTACTTGCTGATCTTTTCTACCTTCCTTATGAGCATGGACCCAAAGGAGCACAGATGTTACGGGAGTTCCAGTGGCTTCGAGCTAATAGCAGTGTTGTCAGTGTCAACTGCAAAGGAAAAGACTCCGAGAAAGTGAGTACCCCTCCTTTACCTGGGTGGGTCCCCTGTGATACAGAGGAGGTTCATCAATGACAGCACATTGACCAGATTTCAGATGTGATTTCTAAGTGGATGCTGACTGTTCAGTCTGGTACATTGAGTCCCATCAGTTGGCCTTTGGAAGGGAAGCGAAGTCTGAGTTTGCTCCTTTAGTAATCTTTGTCCATTTGGGGAGAGGAACTTTTCTTATGTAGAGTTAGGCCCATGAGTATTTTTTTTTTTCCAATCAGGATAAATTGGCAGGTACTTGGTAGTAAAGGTTTTCATGTATTAACGTGACTAGAGCTTATTTTGTTAGGTGTGCCAATTCTTGTGTCCTTTCGTTGTTCTCCCCCTAGATTGAGGAATGGCGGTCACGAGCAGCGAAGTTCGAGGAGTTGTGCGGACTAGTGATGGGGATGTTCACACGGCTCTCCAACTGCGCCAACCGGACCATCCTCTATGACATGTACTCCTACGTTTGGGATATCAAGAGTATAATGTCTATGGTGAAATCTTTTGTACAGTGGTTAGGTAGGTGCAACAGGAATAATCTCCTCAAATATGATGTTTCTTCCCACCCTACACCCCCCCCAAAAAATTATCCCATAGGGAGAAAAACATTTTAGGGAATTGGCAAGTTTCCAATTCTTTGCGTAGGTGTCTTTCAAAGGTAGGCATTGTTGTAAACTTGAGGTGCAGGTTTTTATATCAAACATTAATTTTCTCCCTTGGGCTAATTAAGCATTAATGTCATGGAAATGTTTAGAAAGTACTGACTTTAACTTGCTCTGACTGAATGCTTCCTGGATGGAATCCCATATAGCACTTTGGCCTGATTTGGAGATGGAGACACTATGAAACGTGACTGTACGCTCTCTGCTGCTTGCTGTGTCTGGATGACATTAATGCCGTGTTTAACAGAGCCATTGCTGAAATGACCTAAGGGGCCTGGCAAGAGGAAGCCATCCTCCCAGCCCTGTGCGCATGCGAGCTTTAGTGTAAGGCTATTCTGGTGCTATTTGTATTGTTTCATGTGGCTTTTTCTTTATCCCTCTACCAAGTAATTGATTTAATAGGGGATGGGGATTCCAATCCCCTGCAAACGCTCTGCCTCTGCAAATAGCCTTTTGTATGTCCCCTTTGAAAATAGGATTTTGAAGATTCTCAAACTTAGTAAAAAGCACCAGCATGGCCAAGTGTCTCCAGGAACTTATTTCATTTCCAGGTTTTCAATCCAGCTGTAAGGAATATGTCATGGACTTACATAGAGCACCCAGCAGGCAGCAAGGCTGACTGATCATGTCACAGTTTTTCATAGTAGTCACAAATACTCGGGGCTACCTGGGCTTGACTGTGAGAGAGAGCTGGCCCCCGAGCTATATTCCACAGTCATAGTAATGCAGTGTCTCGTGCTGCCTTTCACATCGTTTGGCTCTTAAATATTTAAAATAACAGTTTTCCTGTGTTAAAAACAAAATCTTTGATTATTAATTTAACAATGTAGCAATTTCTTTGGATTGCTAATGTAGGCAGAAGAGAGAATTTGGGTTTGACCTCTTGTTAAAAGATTCAAAAATGAAAATGTCTCTTGCCCGTGGGTGGTAACGAGCTGCCCTTAAATGTAGGAGTTGTCAGATGAAGGTATTTGCTCTCAGTTCTAGCCAAACCACCCCGCAACCGTCTGGTCAGTTCTGACTCAGCACACCTGTCTATGCAGTGTGTAAGCTGTAATCAAACAGCTTTCCAGGCCTGCCTTCTGGGGTGCCCCTGAGGAGGTTCAACCCTCCAGCTTTCCATTTAGTAGTTAATCTTAAGTGTTGTACCACCCACCAAAGGACTCCCTTAGACTTCCATAATGAATCCTCATAGGGAGTAAACCTGAGGTCTGAATCCTTGAGCTTGGAGTTCTGACTCAACGCAGCCCTGTAGGGCTGTAGACCTGCCCCATCGGGTTCCCGAGGCAGTAATCTACACGGAAGCAGATGCCACGTCTTTCGCCTGGGGAGCAGCCGGTGGGTTTAAAACACCAACCTTTTGGTTAATAGACAGGCACTTTTAACATTGTGTGCCACCAGGGCTCCTTAAGAAAGCCTATCATCTGAAATATTGATACTCAAGTTTTAATTTGAGTTCTTAAAAATGAAACTCTTGATTATGTACAGTATTGTTTCTGTCTCCCCTCAGGCTTTTTACTGCTTTTTATGCAATTGTGGGGTTAGTAGCTTTCCAAACGTGCACAGGTAACTCTTGTAGCAGTTTTGAATAACCTCGGTATTCATAATACCTTCCCACAAAGCTCCCGACAGGGAGAGTGTTTTCATCGTTCCCCAGTAATCTCAGGGGATCCCCGATTGGAGCTCTGTTGTCCTCCTCGCTCCACTCCAGTTGGCATTCAGTCCTTTAAAGAATGTGGCTGTGCAGTACTTTTGATTACTAATGACTTCTATTATCTTCTTCCCCATTGTGTACAGATGGGAGAATCCTCAGCACAAGTGTCTACTACTATTGGATGGACAGCGGCAGATGTTCACAGCGCGCCATGATTAATTAGTTTAAGTTGAAAGGTCTATCTGTGAGGTAGCTCAGGTAGATTTGCAGACAGTAGGCATGAACTGAAGTCACGTTTGCGCAGCGACTGAGGCATTAACCATATTTTCATTTACACAGCTCTTCGTACATGCAGCTTTTTACTGTGATAGTCAAAAGTGCTAGTTCTCTTGTCTCAAAGTCGGGGTTAGGGAAAATTGGCTGATCTTAAAGTTTGAGAGGTATAGTCATGCCCCTCCCCCACTCCCCAGTGTAAATTACACTGAGTTCTGGAATGGGGCGGGCTTTCTTCCTAACTCCAATTCTGACCTTCGTATCTATTTTACGAACACTACATGATATATTTTTAAAAAAACAACCCAAAACTATATATATATATATGTATGTATACACACCCCTGCTCCTAAAAAAATGTCCAACCCAGATTCAGCCTCTTTAGTGGGCCTGAAACAAGAACAAAACTTGGTTGCTTTGGGACTGTCTGACTAGCACACTGTATCTTGTACTGATGAGACTGTTAACTTGAACAGGAGGTAGAATGCTGTCTTCAAATGGAAAAGAACTATTTTGCGCTGCTTTATCTTGTCAGAAGACTAGGCAGGTGATTTGGGGCTCCAAACATTTGCCTTAAATGATCTCTTACTGTCGGCTACCCCTCTTGCCCATGACGCTGTGCAAGCAGTGGTCTTTCTGCTGACGGCTGGGCCTCTGAGCTTGCTATCCCATGCTCGGGCTCAGTGCATTGCAAAGAAGATCCTGGTTGATTAGAGGAGCCAGGTGCTGCCACACTTTTAACAAAAGAATGTTAAAAGGAACATCAGTGATGTCAGATTCTAATAGGCCCAGCAAGCTAAAGTTTCCCTTTGGATTCTCATCAGAAAAAAGTGTCATTGTGTTTGGTTCAGCTTAGTGAACAATTTCTTTTGAATAATTCTGCTGACCTTAGTTTTCTGACAAGATTACCCCTTTCCCCCCTTTTTCCCTTTCCTGTACCCTTTCTCAAATTGTAAAATGTGACTTCAGACAGGTTTAATTCCTTCAAGGGCTGTGATAATAAGTTTGTCTCATTCATTAGCTCATTCATTTCGGTTTATATTGTGATTTCATTGAAGAGCAAGCAGCGTGCTTGTCTCCAGGGATGGTGTAAACTTGTACTCAGACTCAGGACTCCAGTCCTGTATCAGTAAAACTAGAAAACAGTGAGTAGTCATTAACGGGAGGAAGAAACATCACTTGTTCGAATTTCATTATGTGATTTTAAAAGTAATTATTATCACAGCCTTGCCCTGAAACCCTGGGTTATTAATTGTTAGAGAGCTATTTCCACCAAGTGTTTGTTAGTTTGTTGGACGTTTGAGACCCCAGGAAATCCCCTTTCTCGTAACATTCTCCGCTTGGATCTGATCTCAACAGGGTGTCGTAGTCATTCTTCAGCACAGTTCTTAATTGGAGACCAAGAACCCTGGGCCTTTAGAGGTGGTCTAGCAGGAGAGTTCCAGGTATCAATATGAATTCACAACTGAATTGACATTTTCTTTGTTTTATGAGAAACCTTATGTTGCGCATCAGATGGCTGGAAGGATTGGTCTGCCGAAGGCTTTCTGGTCCCAAATTCAATTTAGTTACATAGCTGGATCTTAAATCAAATTTTCCTCCTCTTTCACAGTAATTTCTGAAGGAGATGCTGCCAATTCCCCCGCGCCCGCGAAGCGCAGCGGCTCTAGGTATACACTTCACATTGTTTCTTTGCAGGTCGCACAGCCTTTTAATCTGCGCCCGCAATGCACAATGCGCGCATGCTTGTCTGCCAGTGGAAATTCCATGAGCAACATAGCCGAGTAATTATGCAAGTGAATGGTGAAAGGGCTTTGGCTGCTTTTTCTGTGGTTTTATAAATAAAAGCTTGTGCTTGAAAAAACAGTCCATTTGTGAAAATTTGAACAAAACCTGAAGCTTCCTTGGTCTTGCAGTTTGTTCATGGACTTTTCAGGCATCTACTTTTCTCCCCCCAACAGGTGCTCTGCTGCGCACAGCAAACTGAAGCGCATTGCTTTGGGGATAAAGCGTCTCCTGGACAGATAACCCTCTTCAGACCAAACCTCTCCTCCTGACATTCTGTTCTGCCATCTTTTAGTAGAGAGATGGTCTCTATAAGATTGTCTTCTTTAAAAAAAAAAACTTGTCATAATTGGAATAGATTTTGTTGTTTTTGTGTTTGCTTGTTTTGTTTTGTTTTGACCGTAAATTTAAATCCCCATTAATATGCCACTATATAACTCAATTTGGGTAGTTTTTACTCAGAAACACTCCCCCAGCAAAGAGGTGTTTTTATTAGTAAAGCAATAGTACAGCCTCTACTTTAGGTCTGCCTGCAGTAGCCAGTTAATGTTAGTTGGTAGTCTGCAGTGCACAGCCATGTGAAGAAGCGAGTGTCTTCCCCACACTTACCCATCTCCTGTTTTTTCTTCCCACAGCGTTTGCTGCCAATTGATGGGGCAAATGATCTCTTTTTTCAACCACCTCCACTGACTCCTACCTCCAAAGTCTATACTATCAGACCATATTTTCCTAAAGATGAGGTAATTGTGTACCTGCCAGTGTGCTGGGTGGTTATGATGTACAGTTAATGCTTTCCTTCCTACTAAATCATTAAAAGACTCTTTCTTGTGCATGTGAACATACGAGGGGCTACCAAAAAAACCGGAATTCCACTGGATGGAGGGGAGCTTTTCTAGTAGAATTTCACCTGCCTGGCAAGCATAAAACAACTCGCTGTGAGTTAGTTGAGTTAGTGGCGTTGCCTGGGAAGGTTCTCTCTTGTCACAGTGAATTTTTTCATAAAAGCAGTTTCACTCAAACCTCATTTTTTGTGATGGCTGATTTGAGAGACCAGCTTGTGGCTGTGAAATTTTGTTTCCTGCTGGGGAAAAATGCCACAGAAACTGTTGTAATGTTGAACACAGTGTACAAGGACAGCACTGTGGGAAAAAGGTGTACAGTGGTTTTCATGTTTCAAAAAAGGTGACATGTCGATTGATGACAAACCTCATTCTGGACGTCCGTCAACTTCCTGAATGTACGAAAATGTCAACTCATGGTGCATTTGGAGTTAGTTACACCAGGTCAGACTGTTAATCAACTTTTTGTTTCCTCGAATGAAGAGAGACATAAAAGGACTGATTTGACGACAGAGAAGAAGTGAAGAAAAAAAATAATGGAAGTGCTGTCAGCCATCCAAACAGATGAGTTTGAAAAATGTTTTCAAGAACAGAATCACAGATTTGACAAATGTATTAAGTGTAATGGAGAGTACTTTGAAGGTAATAAGGTAGTTTTGTAAAAAAATTTAATTAGCTTTGAAAGCAATTCCGGTTTTTTTGAGTACCTCTTGTATGGAACTCAGATGAAGAGAGAACGGAAGCACTGGCCACAGGAAGACTTCAGAAAGAAGCAAGGTGTTCAGACTCTTGGCATCCTGTGCGTTAGGTTCTTCCCTTAGCAAGTCAAATGCATTCTGGTTGGGGTTGGCATGAGAGAGTCAGTGTGTCTAAATGAGGTGCTTTTGAAAAGCTAATTCTCATGATAGAGCTTAAAAAAATTCATGGAAAAGATAATGGGATTTTCTCCATAAACTTTTTGAAGCCTCCTCATGTATTCGTATACTGCAAGTTTTGGTTGTGAAATATGTGGTCTGTTGACTTGGCTGAAGAAAGAAGCAAACCTGGTTAAAGGAAACAGGTTCGTGAAACACTCTGGGACTATGAACACGAAGCACACAGGCTTAGTCTCACAGTTGGCTAGATTTTGCATTTATTACTATTAAAGCCACCCCCTGCCAAGACCATCCTCAGTATTTTCTAAAACTTAGTTTTAGACTCACTTTTTGCATGTGTGACCCAATCAATAAATCTTTATTTAACAAATCTGAGGGGATATCTCGCTAACGGGCCAGATCTTTTGGTACTTCCGCTTGCGAGTTTGGCAGACTTACAAACCATGTTGCTATGAGATCTCGCTGCCAGTTTTGTCTTGCTGTCTTGCTGAACTAAGTTGTATTTCCAGGCGTCCGTGTACAAGATTTGCAGAGAAATGTATGACGATGGAGTGGGTTTACCTTTTCAAAGTCAGCCTGACCTTATTGGAGACAAGTATGTGATCCGTTTTGGGATTTGGGAATAGATACTTACTATGATAGGTCTGTCATAGCTCTTGAGGAGGGGAGAAAATGAGTGGGGTGGTAGGGGTGGATTTTTTTTTTTTAAACCTATTTTATGTTTCACTATTCTCTGACACCATTTTACACTGCTTAGTGTTTTATTCAAGTACAGTAAGATCTTGGTAAGTCTGAGATTTTGTGTTAAATAAGCTCACTCTGGCCCCTCCCCTTTTTTTGAGCAGGTTAGTAGGAGGACTGCTTTCTCTCAGTCTTGATTACTGCTTTGTTCTAGAAGATGAGGATGGCATATGTGGCTATGCCCTCGGCACTGTGGATGTGACCCCCTTCATTAAAAAATGTAAAATTTCCTGGATCCCCTTCATGCAGGAGAAGTACACCAAGCCCAATGGCGACAAAGAGCTCTCTGAGGCCGAGGTAATGCAGGGGTGTAGGGTTGTGGGAACTGCTTGCTGTAAAGTATTTTCTAAAATCTTAAAAATAAGGATTCTTAGGGTCTATTATTTTTCATCTTACTGTGGTATGATATAGTCCAAAAAAAGTCCTCATTTTAACCATTTTTTAGCTGTACAGTTGAGTGACACAAATGAAGTTCACCGTATTATGCAATAACTGCTACTTAGGACTTCTTAGCATGACATTTTACATCATTCCCTTGGTTAGAACTGTTTTTTGAGAGCATTGTTATAGTAGTTCCTCAAAAGTATCTTATTTGGTGGTTTGATAAGCTAGCTTGCCTCTTCAGTAATAATGCCTGTTGTAGCTTAATTGAAAACAAGAGGGGTGAACTTCTTAAAGAATTTGCTTTTTTGTTATGAACAATCCTTAGTGTCTATACCTGTCCTGTCTCAATTCAATGAAGTTTTCCTCTTTGAAGCATGTTGCACGTTACTCAGTTTATAGAATTTTCCTCGGAGCTGCTGCTAGTTTTGAACTGCTGACCAAGAGGATTGCAGCCCAACGCGTAACCACTAAACCACCAGGCTCCACAGAATTTTGGCTTATATATGAGCATTTAAAAAATAATCCTTTCTTGAAGGTATCTTTATTGTTTCATAGGTTTCCTGGACGTCTGGCAGGAGAGGGGGTGGTAAAGGGGAACTGATAGCATGGAGTACAGGAGGAAGAAAATGTTTTGAAACTGATTGTGGTAGTGATTGTACAACACTGCTTGATGTGATTGAATTGGGGAATGGTATGTCTCGATTAGGTCTGAATAAAATGGTTTGAAAGTATAAAAAATCAATAATAGTGCATAAAAATATCAATAATAGTGCATATGTGCACATTATACAGGAATAAGTGGTACATTAAACAAGGTATTAAAGAACAACTGGACAAGAATAAGTACTCTTTATTTAGTGTCTTATTTGTGACCTTATCTTTTGTTCATCCATGTTGTTGCACTTTGTTTTCCCAGTTCCAAAATTCTCCAGGTCTCCTCCCCTACCAAAGTACTCACATTCTCTTTCTCTTTTACTGTTTGCCTTCTGCCCCTAACTGGATGGCTAGGTAATAAGAAAGGCTAGTGTTGCATGGCCTTGTTCACTTGGGAGGATCTTGACATTGACACTACAGTGTGCTTGTGATTGAGCTGTTGGTATGTTGCTGTCCCACATCTGGCGATTGTAATTTTCAGCATCCAAACCCCAAAGCCAAATCAACTACCATCGAGTTGGTTTGGATTCACAGCTACCCCCATATAGGGTTTTCCAAGACTGTAAATCTTCAGGAGCAGTCAAAACTCACCTTTGTCCTGCTCCGCAATTTCTGTTGTTTGAATTCCTGACCTTGCACTAAACAGCCCAGCCAGCGCCACCTCATTGACAGTGCCACCAGGTGGTCAACATAAAAACATAGAAAGGGTGCTCAGTTCCTGGAAGTCAGTAGATTTGTTTTTCCCTTCCAGAAAATAATGCTGAGTTTCCACGAAGAACAGGAAGTAATGCCAGAAACTTTCCTTGCCAACTTTCCTTCTCTGATAAAGATGGATATTCATAAAAAAGTAACTGATCCAAGTGTGGCCAAAAGCATGATGGCTTGCCTCCTGTCTTCACTCAAGGCTAATGGTGAGCATGTACTTGTGGAGGTTCTGGTGTTTGGGCATGGTGAGGATTGGACTATATTACAGGATAAAAAGGAGGAAGTGAATTTATACTGTGTGTTTTGGACTCTGAATTGATGGTGGCTCAAGATGGGCAGGTTGTAAATATCTTAGGCTTTGAGAGTCTCATCTGGTTTCTAATGAGTTTGTTTTTTAATCGTTTTATTAGGGGTTCATACAGCTCTTATCACAATCCATACATACATCAATTGTGTAAAGCACATTTGTACATTCAATGCCCTCATCATTCCCAAAAACACCTAAGCCCCTGGCAACAGGTCCTCATTTTTTCCCCTCCCTCATGAGCCCTTGATAATTCACAAATTATTATTTTGTCATATCTTGCCCTGTCTGACGTCTCCCTTCACCCACTTTTCTGTTGTCTGTCCCCCAGGGAGGAGGTCACATGTAGATCCTTGTAATCAGTTCCCTCTTTCCAACCCACTCTCCCTCTACACTCCCAGTATCGCCACTCCCACCACTGGTCCTGAAGGGATCATCAGTCCTGGATTCCCTGTATTTCCAGTTCCTATCTGTACTAGTGTACATCCTCTGGTCTAGCCAGACTTGCAAGGTAGAATTCGGATCATGATAGTGGGTGGGTGGGGTGGCGGGGGTGGTGGTGGTGGTGGGAGGAAGCATTTAGGAACTAGAGGAAAGTTGTATGTTTCATCGTTGCTACATCGCACTCTGTCTGGCTCGTCTCCTTCCCGAGACCCCTCTGCAAGGGGATCTCCAGTGGCCTACAAATGGGCTTTGGGTCTCCACTCTGCACTGCCCCCCTCATTCACTCTGGTAAGATTCTTTTGTTCTGATGATGCCTTATACCTGATCCCTTCGACACCTCGTGATCGCCCATCGGGTATTCTTTAAGGTTTTTTTACACCTTCTTTGTTGGGAAGATTTTTATTTGTGGGGAAAGAGATTCACTGACTACTGAATTTTAAATTCATTGAGCTATTGCTGTTGGGTGAAATTCTGATTCATAGGGGCCTACTAGGACAGAAGAACTGGCCCAGAGGGTTTTCAAGACTGCAAATCTTTACAGAAACAGTTGGCCCTATCTTTGTCCCAAGGAGCAGCTGGTGGATTTGAACCTTTGGTTTAGCTGAGCAATCAACCAGGGCACCACAAAGATTAATCACAATTCATTTCCAAAGTTCTAATAGAATGGGTTATTTAGGGGATTGGGGAGGGATAGGAAAAATGAGGACCTAATGCCGGGGGCTTAGGTGGAGAGGAAATGTTTTGAGAATGATGAGGGCAATGTACAAATGTGCTTTACACAATTGATGTATGTATGTATGGATTGTGATAAGAGTTGTATGAGCCCCTAATAAAACGATTTTAAAAAAAAGAATGGATTATTTATATATTTGTATGAAATATTTGTGTTTTATTTCTAGGTTCCCGGGGTGCTTTCTGTGAAGTGAGACCGGATGATAAAAGAATTCTGGAATTTTACAGCAAGTTAGGCTGTTTCGAAATTGCAAAAATGGAAGGCTTTCCAAAGGACGTGGTTATACTTGGCCGGAGCCTGTGACGCTTACTCGCATTGCGAACTGTCAGAGTCTCTGAGCTCTACCTGGCGGGTGGTGGGTGGGGTCTTCATACAGTTCAGTGTCTGGAGTGGAAGCAAATCGGCTAAAGGGATTGGAGACACAGATGACTAACACTGACCGATCTCACCTCAGACTACCCACTGGTTGGAAGAAGGTGGTGTTGCTGCAAGTCCTTTGTAAAACAGAGGTGTGGGCCTCCTCCTTTTTGGGTCTTCTGTGAGGTGCCAAGACCTCTAACCCAGGCATAGAGGGAGGGTTCCTTAATAAATGTAGTCAGCACTGTTGTCTGCATCCAGTGTGGTTGCATTTCTCACCGAAGAGTAATTAAAATCACTCTGTCATCCTTGGTTTAGTGAATGAGATGTCTCTGGTTTTTTGGGGGGATAGCAGAGAGGAGAAAGATTCTGTAGTTTTCGAGGCTTCTGGGTAGAGATTCCAAATGGGGTGATTGTGGCAGTTTCAGTGGAGTGAATACTTTCCCTCTTTGGCAGTTTTCCTGCTTTTTGTAAAGCCGTGACCAGTTGTCTCCTGTAGCGACCTTTGGTTCAGGCAGATTGTGCTTTGTAGGGACGAATGTGCAGTTGTTTGTGGCAAAGCCTCAAAATGACAAACTTGTAAATTTCTTTGTATATAAACTAGCTGTAACTGGATTATTCTTTACATTTACTGTTTCTGTAATTTGTTTTCCTTCCTTTTGAAAATGAAAGGGTGTTAGTTCAGGATGGCACTTTGAAAAATGTAAATCATAGTGGAAAATTAATTTGCTTCACTTTGTGGGGTTTTTTTTTTTTCCTTAAAGAAGTTTTATTATTTTTACAGTGCCTCCCACGTAGGGCTAGGCTATGACCATTTGGGGTGCGAGAGCCTAACTTCTGTAAATAGGACACAGTCTGTTGCAAAGTGCAGTCACTTCTGGAAATTAACCTCAATAGCAGGTCAGCATGTGAAATGTTAGTTTTGACACCTGTCAAATAGGGCTTAGGGACTGATTGGTCCCAATTCCCTCAGATCAGCTGTCCTTTAATTTCAAGGCCTGTTAGTACTGGTTTTATTAAATCATGGTCTTTAATTCTTGCATGCTTATATCTAAGTTTTAAAGGAAATAAAGAATAAACATCCTTTAACCTCTGCTTTATAGTTACCACCACCTCCTCTTTCCCCTTAATCACTGATTCTGAAAGCTTCACATATTTTCATTTGGATTTGATCCTTTCAAAGGGCCTGAGCAGCAGGCTGGCAGGTAGTCTCTGCAGGAGCCATGTTCTCATCATGGCTGGCTGACTTCTCCAGAGATTCCTAACAGCATTCGGATATCTTGCTTCCCCGCAGGTTTTGCATCAGTTGTTTAACTTTGAGCAGAGGGGCAGGGAAAAGGAAGGCTGCGATGCTGAGAACTCCCAGCAGTGTGAGCTTCCAGAGAATCTTGATACTCCTACCAAGTTTGATATCAGCCAAGGCTTGAGAGTGCAGTGACTGGGTTAAAAGAAGGGAAGGAAGATGGCCTCTTCATTCATAGAGTTTTTAACACATCACGTAGAAAGCTGGAACCAAGTGTGCACTTTGAAGGGCCAAGGGGAAGTGAAGGGGGGGGATATTGTTTCCAAGGGCTGATTGTCACTCAGTTTTCCATTTGGGTGTGTCTCGATCACTAGTGGACAACACTAGCATTTTCTCTAGAGGGTTGTCAACCCCGTATGGAATCAGGATTTTTATGAAGTTTGCTTGTTACTTTATCTTGGCTTTTAATAATCATTTTGGCCAGGCTTCTGGTCACATGTTACACTGTGAGACCGATGGCCAGGCTTAATTCTTCATCACTCTTAAGGTTGTAAAGTGCTGGTTATGCTGACATGTTCAATGGTTATAATTTTTAATAAGGTTGGAATGACACTTATTGTTTAGATCACATCTCAGTTTCTGTACAAAACAAACTGTAAAACTATCTGAAGATCATGCGAGAAGCAAAATAAAACGAAGTGAATGTGTGTGGTGTATTTTGTGAACCTTCTTCCCGTTTTTTGCCCTCTCTCTTCTCGGGTCCTTCACCCGTTGCCTACAGTCAGGCATTCCTTCTCTTTCCAACTGTTGACAATTTGGAACTGATCTTGAAAGCAGCCTTCCTCACTCCCATCCTTGTAAAGAGCTTCCTTCCGAATTTCCCTCAAGGCAAAGGCAAAAGCCCAAAAGAGGCAGACCACTTCCTGGCCAGACCACATCTTACCATGGTTGTAACATATAGGAAAGCTAATTTGGACGAGTATATGTCACATGCTAGGATAGGGAACAGAGCCCAGGTTGATGTGGTAGGTTACGTGTTGGGCTGCTAACCACAAGATAAACAGTTTGAAAACAGCTGCTTTTGAGGGACAAATATTGAGAGGTTTTGACTCCCTTAAAGATGCTTTAGAAACCCTCTACTCTGCCCTATAGCGTCACCATGAGTTCGAACCAACTGTGGCAGTGAGTTTGGTTTTTTTGGGATAGGATAAGGAACACTGAATGGGTGAAAGGAAAACTTGGAGGAATAAACCAAACTATTAGGAGAGAACACTCCAGGGAGAAAGGACTTGCTTGGCCTATTTTTGAGTCAAGTTCAGAGAATGTTAGCGTAGTCCTGCTACAGCATCAGTTGGTGCCACATTTGAGCTAATTTATGCTCTGCTTGCAAGGCCAGCAAATAGATTTGATGCCTTGAACACTGAAGACCAGACAGTGAGATGACATCAAGGGCATCCATATGAAGAAGTCAAAAGGGCATTAAAAAGACAGGAAAGAAAAGACTAAAGTTATCAGAAGAGACTGAAACTCACTCTGGAACAAAAAAAGATGCTGACGTAAATGGGAGAAAGAATGAAGTAAAAGCTGAAGAGAAGATTCCAAAGGGTGACACTGGAAGACAAAACCGAAATGTGCAAGGACTTTGCGTTTAAAAAACAAAAGGGAAGAACATGCCTGGCATATTTCAAGGTAAAAGAAGCAACTTCAGTACCCAAATTACAATGCTAGGGGCAAGATCTGAGTGATGGGGGAAGCATCCAAAACAAAATGGAATACAGAATCAACCAAACCCAAAGAATTGGTTTACAGTCAGCCCTTTGAGGAGGTGTAGCATGTGATCGAGAACCAGTAGTATTGAAGGAAACCACACTGAAAGCATTGACCAAAAAAAACCCAGTTCCTGGTCGTGAAATGCCAACTGAGGGAATGTTCACTTGTCTATGACAGAATTTGTAAGGCAGCTAGCTTGGCCAGCCAACTGGAAGAGATTGACAGTGATAATCATTTCAAAGAAAGGCTATTTGGGGGGAATGTCATACCAAAAGTAAAATTTTACTGAGGATAATTTTAAAATGGTTACAGCAGTATGTTGCCAAAAGTGCTGTAAGGAATTCATTACAGAATCGAAAAAGGAAGATCTTCAGATAGTTGTAGTTTGTTGGTGTCAGGTGGACCCTGGCTGAGAGCAGATCATATCAAAAAGATGTTTGTCTTCTATTGGGTGTAGGAAGGCATTTGGCTTTGTGAATCATAAATTATGGATAGCACCGAGGAAAATGTCCCAGAACACTTGTGCTCATGTGGAACCCGTACATAGACCGAGAGGCAGTTGTTCAAAGGACTTTGAGTGGTTTAAAACCAAGACTGGTATGCATCAGGACTGTATCCTTTGGCCATTCTTAACGTGTATGGTGAGCAAACGATTTGAGAATGGTATCAAGTTTGGAGGCAGACAGAGGACACAATTTTACCATGGGACTTGAAGTCAAGGTGAAATGGCTTACAAATGGATGACTTTTCAACATAAAAATCCTCACAACTGGACCAATAAGCAGCAAATATTGGGGTTTACAATTTTTTTCATTTCACTTGGATAATCTTTTTAAGTGTTAAGCAAAGATCTCACTTTTGAGGACTAGTATGCACCTGATTGTAAGCCATATTTTCAATAAACATTGTGTAAGCTGGACTGAATATTGAAGACTAAAGATTTGATGCCGTTAAATTATGGAATATTGGCTATATCATGGATTTCCAGAAGGACGAACAAATCCGCCTTGGAAGAAGCCCGGATGACACTCGGGCATGTTAACTGAAGGACACCGTGGTTAGGGTCTTGAGAAGGGCCAGGACCGGGAAGCACTTTCACTCAAGTTGGCGGTGGAGCTGATCTCACGACATCTAACGAAGGTGGGCAGTGAGTCCGGGAGACTGAAGAATGCATTTGACTTGTGCTGCCGAACACCAGAAGTACCACGGACTGCCAGAACAAACACCTGTCTTGGGAGAACTGCAGCCTTCTTAGAAGCAGGATGGCGAGACGTCATCTCATGTCTAGGACATGTCGGAGAGGCCGCTCCCTAGAGAAAGGTCTCGTGCTTGGTAGAGGGCAGCGAAAAGGAGGGGGGTCTGATGAACTGCATTGACACAGTGGCTGCCACAATGGGCTCAAACATAATTGTGAGGATGGGGCATGACGGGGCAGTATTTCATTTCGTTACTGAGTCGGAAATGACACCTATCAACAGTCAAGCTGGCATCTGAGGCTCAAAGAAGATATGTTTGCAGAGGGCAGTTGTGCTATAGAAAGGTTTCGGGGTCATTTGAGCAGGAAGCATACTTAGGGGATACTAAAACTAGGAAATGGGGGAATTGGGGCGAGTTTGATAGCTGAGACTTATGGCTTCTGCGCTTTTGAATCAAAAGCCAGGCCGAGCACAAAGCTGTAAGTGCATTTTCCGTTGGTTAAAAACCCGGGCATCCCCGAAACCTACAGTTGTAAGGGCATTAAAAAACTCACAGTCGTGGAGTCGTTAGTGTGGGTTGGAAGAGTAGGCTGCTGGGAGGGTGCTAGGAGATAATGGTAGCAGGAATGGCTTTTGGAAGAAATAGGCAAATCCACTCTTGAGTGGTAACATCCTCTCCGCTGCCTGGGTAGACAAGTGTGAGAAGCTGCTGCTTCCCGGGTAAGGCTATGGGAGTAGCCCGGGTCCTAACTTTCCCCGCGTCTTACCCGTTCTCAGTCGGAGCGTCTCCTTTAAGGGGCGGGGCCGGAACTGGCCGTGAATCTCTCGCTTTGTACGTGTCGGAGGCGGGGTTTGCAAACGGTCTTTGCAGCATGGCCGCCGGCACCGCTGCCGCCTTAGCGTTCCTGAGCCGGGAGAGCCGAGCCCGGGTGAAGGGCATCGGGAGTCTGCGCGCCCCAGCCCCGGTCACGATGGACAGTTTTTTCTTCGGTACTGGGGAGCGGGAAGGGCGGGAGTGGTGGCCGTGGTAAGCGGCCGGGATGAGGAACAGGAGTCCGTTTGGGTGCACGACGTGGGTGGGTACCGAGGACTGCCTTGCCCCCCACCCCTACTACCCACCACCACCACCCCGGGAAGGCGCCTGGCCGGTAGATGCGAGCGCCGAAGGAGACTACGGGCCCGTCCCCGTAGAGCGGGGCGGGGCCCAGAGCCAGGCATTGGTGGGCGTGTAAGGGCCAGCCTGTCGCTGGCTGCACGTGGCAGAGGTTTGGGGAATCGTGCCCGCCGCCCCGTCACACTCATGAACACTCACTGCTCTCTCCCAGGTTGTGAGCTTAACGGCGGCACCCGCTCCTTCACCTTCAAGGTAGAGGAAGAGGACGATGCCGAGCACGTGCTGGCCTTGACCATGGTGAGGAACGCCGGGGGTGGTTGGGGGTGGGGCGCAGGGCCAACGAGTAGCCGGCTTTGGGCCTTCCCCTGCCCCTTCACACCTACCACGGGAGCCGCTCCTCATGCCAGGGGCTCCACCCTAGGGAAGAGGCCTCCCTCCACCTTAGGCCTGACTTTGGGAGACCCAGAAGCCTTGTCCCTTTCCCAGCTCTGCCTCACTGAGGGCGCCAAGGACGAGTGTAATGTGGTGGAAGTCGTGGCGCAGAATCACGACCATCAGGAGATTGCAGTCCCCGTGGCCAACCTCAAGTTGTCCTGCCAGCCCATGGTGAGTTCCCCCGCACGGTGGCAGTGGAGTGGAGTGGGTGGCGGGCCATGAGAGCTTCGGGACTGGCCCGGCCCAACCCTTTCTGCTTGTGTTCCTTTAGCTCAGTCTCGATGACTTCCAGCTCCAGCCACCTGTGACCTTCCGCCTGAAGTCGGGCTCGGGCCCCGTGTGTATCACTGGGCGCCACCAGATTGGTGAGTGCTGCCTGGCCCATGCCCTTTGCCGCAGTCCTGCCCACGCTGCAGTCCTGCCCACTCCTGCAAGTCACCCCTGCTCCATTCCAGCTTCATCTCTTAGCTCAGTCCCGAAACAGGACCCTCACTCACGCATGGGCTCCTGCATCATCTGCTTCCCCTCCTCCAGTGTCCTGCCCTCCCTTGACACCCAGTCTAGTAGTTGGATTCATTCTGCCTAGACCAGCGGTTCTCAACCTGTGAGTCGTGACCCCTTTGGGAGTCGAACGACCCTTTCACAGGGGTTGCCCGATTCAAAACATTAACAAAATTACAGTTATGAAGTAGCAACGAAAATAATTTTATCGTTGAGGGTGGGTCCCCACAACATGAACTGTATTAAAGGGTCGCAGCATTAGGAAGGTGGAGAACCACTGACTTAGCCTCTAAACTGTGGGCAGGGGCAGTGTTCCTGCAGGCCCAGAGCCTCAAGTCTGTAGTTTAGGACTACTCAATGGTTGCTCCCACCGGTTTAACTGTTGGTGTGCCCACCAGTTACGATAAGCAATGACATTTCGGAGGAGGAAGAGGAGAGTGAGGAAGAAGACAGCGAGGATGGGGAAGCTGAGTTGTGCCCTGTCCTGCCTGCCAAGAAACAGAGGGGCAGGCGCTAGCGCTCCTTGGTGAGTTGAGGGCACCAGGGTGGTGGTCCCCGGCTGGGGAAGATTGGGCCTAGGTACCAACCCCTTGTCTTCTCACAGGTCAGTCTGCCTGTGACCTGCGCTTTGCACCATGCATTCCTGGACAGGGCTCAAGAGATCGAAATGTTTCTTCTCCATTGAAGAAGAGGGTTTTGGGGGGCTTGGGTTGGTGCTAAGAGAAAAGGGGGCCTGCTCTCCTTAGGGCCCTGCCCCCCACCCAACCAGGGCAGGGCTTCCCTTTTCTCCCAGGGTGGGAGGAAAGCTCAACCTCTGCCTGACTCCCCCCTGTCCTCCCCCCCACCTTCCTCTGAGGAGTGGAAGTCAGTAGTTCAAGCTCAGGTTACACATTTTTACCCCTTTTTACATTTTTTGGATAAAAGTTTAAATAAAATGGCATGTGTGTTTTGTTTTTTTGGCAAATCATTTGAGTGGTTTCTTCCTGTGGTGGGATGACATTCCCCTAGGGACCACCAGGTGGCACTGCAGCCGCACTGAGGGTCTCCCTGGGCCTGGGGGAGTCCGGGAAATGTGGGATCCTGCTGTCTCCAGGGGGCCCTCAACTCCCTTGCTGGAGGGGACCTCGCAACACCCAGACTGTTCCCAGCCCTCTGGGTAGGGGGGTGGGCCATTCCAGGAGGTTATCAGTGTCCAAACAAGGGTCTGGGTCTCTGTCAGCACTCAGGCTGATGGGCAGGGGGCAGATAAGGGGGCTTAAGCTGCCTGAGGAATGTGCATCCCAAGCCCTGTGAGGGGCTCAGGCCCAGGGAGGGCCCATGAGGGGTCAGGTGGGGGCCAGTCCTTGCTGCTGCTTTGAGCCTTTCAGGCGGTCTTGCACTGGGCTGGCCCTTAGAAACCTGATTCCGGGTTCCAGATGGAGGGGGCTGGCCAGATTGGGTGACAGAGAAACCAGAATCCGGGTGGCCTGGCATATGGGGGTGGGGGAGAAAAACCCCTGGGAATTGGTCTCCTGAGCTGAGGGGTTCCTGACCCCCAGCATACCGCCTGGTCTGGGGACCTCTGGTACCTGGAGGCAGTTCCTTCCGGCCCCTGACTGCTGCGCCCGGCTGAGCCCTGGATGTGGATGTACCTGGTGGGCCCTAGAGTGTGAGCAGCTTGCTCTGGGGTCAGCAGTTCAGCAGCTGTGTTGATGAGCGGGGTGTCAATGGCCAACAAACAAAAGGTTACATCCTGAGACAGCCAGGGGCCAAACAGGCTAAGGATGGACAGAAACCAGGATTTGGGAACAGGCCACACCACATCATACTAGCAGCTCCTGGGAGAATGAGAGGGGCCTGAGATAGAACTGGAGGGGACAGGCAGAGGGCTGGGGAAGTCGGCTTTGGAGGGAGTGACACCCCCTAAACCCCCAAAAGCCCTTCCTTACCAGCTGTGCTGGGGAGCAAGGCCCCTATGTGCAGCCTCTTATTAAAGACCCCTTTGTGAGATGGCAGTCTGGGTCACAGGTCCCTCTTCCCCAGTCTACCGAGGAGTTTCTAGAAGTCTTTGCCTCCAAGTATCCAGGGGACTGCAGTAGGAGAGTAAGTGTGGGAGCCATTCCACCGACTTCAGGCACGTGGGGAGGAGGGATCTCGCGCCCTCTGGTGGACGTGGCTGAAACAACCCAAGACGCTGGTGATGGTGTCACTCCCCACGCAGCCTCTCCAAGGTGCGCACGTGGTGCAGGACTTGTGTGTCTGGAGAGGTGTCTGGGTGACAGAATTTTAGGCAGAAGGCGAGGGATACGTCACTGAGGCTGAGTTCGTTTGTTCATTCATACAACCACCCATCCATCCATTCGTTCCTTTCTGGGAAAGGTTCTCATTTGAGCAGGGAAACAAAGTGGTGGTTGGCGTTGAAGTCATCCCTTCCCCTGCCCCCAGGTGCCAAACTCCTCCGTGCTGCGGAGACGACTGAGTGCAGGAAAAAGTTATTTAGGGGATCCTCCACCCCAGAGCCCCTGCGTGGCCTGGCCGGATATGAGCCTCCTGCGAGCCTGCTGATGGCCCCGCACATTCAGCGTGCCCGCAGTGGGGGCCCAATCCACATCAGTCTGCGACCCTCCGCAGTGGGGGCCCAATCCAGATCAGTCTCCACCCCTCCCCCCAAGCGCGGCCAATTCACTTTTGTCCTAGAGCTTTTGGGACTGTGGGCCCACATCAGGGTGGGGGGTGGTAGACCGCTGGAGGAGGGGCAGACCCGTATGGGGGGCGGGTGGTCCTCGGGTGGTGACTCCCAGACGGGGCCCCAAGCGCTTAACGGAGTCTGGGTGATTTGCATTTGAACGGTGTCCGGGAGTCTGCGGCGCTTTGAACGGGGTGTAGGAGCTGCGGTCGGGGCGGCCGCTGGTGGCGATCTGAGGGGCCTGGCCCGGCGGGGGCCAGGGGTGCACTTGGAAAGAGGCAGAAGGTGTGTGTGTTTGGGTCCCCGGCAAGGGCGTGTTTGCGTTGGCGAGGAGAGTGTGTGTTTGTGTTTGCAGAGTGTATGTGTGTGTTTGCGGAGTGTGGGGGCAGCCAGGGAAGGTGGCCAGGCTGTCACTCAGCGATCAGGTTGACAGGCTTCCCTCATCAGGGCCCGGGAGCTCTGATTGCAGATTCGAGGAAACCAAATAGCAATTGTAATTACGGGGCTTTGATAAGATAAAGGAAGGAGCGAGCTGGCTGGGAGGCGATCAAGGAGGGAGGGAAGGGGGGGGGGGCGTCCATTTGCATCTGTCAGTCATGGGGATGTGCCCTGGCAACTTGGGTGCCTGCTGTGGGGGTGCCTCATCCCCAACACTCCGCCCCAGATCCCTAGACTTTGGGATTATCCAAATGGACTATTACTAGAGGGGGAGAGCGCACTTTGGAGAACCTCCAGGTGCGCAAGAGTTCTGAGAGGCCCCTCCCCCACGCTGGGAAGTGGGCCTCTATGACCAGGATCCTTGTTTCCTTGGGAAGATGGTGGGGTGGGGGGTGGGGTCGGGACTGTCAGCTAAAGGGCCCACAGAGCCTTCTTCGGGCTCCAGAACCAGGACTGAAGCTAGTCTAAGCCAGGTGCTCTGCCCTGCCCTCCCCCCTCCGCAGGGAAGGACAAGGGCCAGGGATCTTCCTACTTGGGACGCCAGAATCCTGCACATCCCATCGAAGGATAGTGCAGGCACCCCCAGCTGCCCTGTGGTGCCGCCCCCCCTGCTTCCTGCTGTCCCCATCAGACTCTCCTCATAAGGCTGCCTCCCAACTGACTGTCCCTTCCCTCACTCATCCAGTCGTTAATGAGGGCAAGATGGGGCGCACATGCCATCCTCTCTGCCCTCTTGTAGCTTACATTCCAGGGCAGAGGCAGAGGCTGGCACGGAGCGAGCGACTGCACAGTGCTGAGAGGTGATGAAGGAAAAGAACTGACCTGGGCCAGCGGCAGGACCACCCAGAGCCTGCCTGATGATCTCCTTTGATGGACCTACCTCCCAGCGGGGGTGGGGGGGGGCAGGGTGAGGGTGTCTGGGGGAGTGGGGACACCACCTGCCACACCTTTGTGCTCAGTAAATGGTGGTGCGAAGCGGGTAATGAAGGCAAACCGTGCTGGGGGAAGTTACCAATGGGCCAGTGTCCCAAGCCTCTATTCATTTAGCTTGGCCTGGTCTGGTCAGGAGCTGTTAGTTCTGAACTGAGCCCTAGCCCCTGCCCACCCCACCCCATCATGGTGGCCAATAGCTACCTGGATGAACGACCCTAGAGCGGGCAACAGGTGGGCTCTGGAAGGCTCCTTCTAGGACTCTTTTCTCAGCTCTGGGAGTAGGAGCTGTGGGACGCAAGGAGAGGAGAGGCAGGCAGAGCCCGGCTGTGCTGCTGGGACAAGTGTCAGCCTCCCACCTCTGTCCTAATGGCTTCCTGGACCCATCCATCCCTTCCAGCCTGGCCGGAGGGACTAGGGGGCCTATGGGAGGGTTGTGGGTGAAGGGTACCTGTGACTTCACCTGCTGATCAGAAATACCTGTTCCAAGGGCCCCTCTCCCAACCCAGGCTACTCCCACAGAAGCAGTATGACACAGGGTCGGTCGGTCCGGAAGCCTTCGCCCAGAATGAGTTGGGGAGTGGGGGTCAGGGACATGGAAAGTCTTTGGCAATGCCTGTGGTCACCGGTACCCAAAGTACAAGTTAGTTCCCTGTACATGGTAGGAATACAGGTATCTGTGAGCTGTGCAGGAGGTGGGGAGAGAGGGGCAGGGGGCACCAAGGGCTGGACAGTCCCAACGAAGGAAAGCCATTCTTTCTGCTCTCTCTGCCTGCAGGTTTCCCAGGGAGGAAGATGAGGCTTTCTACTCCCGAAAAAGTTTCCGTCTCGGAAACCCACCAGGACAGCTCAATCTGTCCGATAGGGTCGCTTTGCGCGGCGGCAGTGGGTTTGGCGTTTGCTGGCAGGATTTGGCGGCGTTGGCTGTGCGTTCTCTCAGGGACCTCTGGGGTCCGCTTTCCACACGGAGTGGATGGGGCCTCCTGAGCTCAAGTTGTGGGGGCACGCACGAGGTTGATGGCGATCAGGGCAGGTATTTCTGGCTCCCTAGAGACTGAGTGCGCTCCTCGAGCTCCGCAGGGAGCAATGGGGGAGCCAGCCGGACCTTCCTTTATACATGCACAGGGAGAGAACCGCGCCCAAGCCAGCACCCAGTCGGGATCTCAGAGGCACCCTGAGGTCCGGGACTAGGCGCATCCGTCCTACCCGACGGGCGGCCCCAGCGTGTCCGAGCCCAGAG